GGGCCGGGGCGTGGGGGAGGAGGAGCCGCGGGGCTGTGAAGCTTTGGAAGGCCCCCGAGGGCTGGTTCTGGTGCACTTAGGGCGGACTATGGGGCTGCTGTAGAGTGATTATAGGACTCTGGTCCCCTGGCAGCACAACTGTCCCAGATGCTCTGCTGCCACTGCTCAGACGCTGATAAACACCCCGGACTGCCAGCCTCAGCCGCCAGGAGCCAATCTCCCCACTCCCTGCAGTGCGCAGCCCCCGTCTTCTGATCAGGGAGCTCTCCCCAGACCTGCAGAGCCACAGACCAGTGGGATGGGGCTGGGGGTGGGGATGCTATAACTGGCGAGTGTAGAGGAAACCTCCATATACAGTTACTCTAATAAGAGTTTCTGCCCTTTAATGCTTAGGTCGCATGTAGAGAAACTCTCCCCTATGGTTACTCACCGTACCCTGACACCCGTTATACAAACAGCACCCATGTTCAGTTTCCTGGCAAAAGGAGCACAACCAGCTCTTCTTCCTGCTATCCCCGTGAGAGTTCAGTCCTTAGGAGTCATTGTTCAGCACTTTTTTTTTCTGTTGGTATTGAGTGCAGTCGCTATTTAGCTTTGTGTGACCCACTTCAAATCAGTCCATAAAGCCAGCCTACATCTCCCAAACAAGCCCCTTTGTGCTTTCTCCCTTGCTGCCCCTCACTTGTCAGGAGCTCCCAATACACATCTGCAAAGCCATCTCATTATCCTCTGTTGAATTCTTCCTTTGCTGTGATGTCTACAAAAACTTGACAGTGGCCGGGCCACTGGTGTGAAACCAGTGTGTCTTGCTGACTAATATCATCTCGTTGTTTCTTTGCACTTGTCCATCTCTTGTCTTTTGTCTTCTACTTGGATTGTAAGCTCTTTGGGTCGGTTCCATCTTCTTGTGTGTTTTTACCGCAGCTAGCACAGTAGGGTCCTGGTCCGGGACTGAGGTTCCTAGGTGCTGGCATGTTACAAATAGTAAATCTCAATGTACAGGCATAAAGGACAAGTTACTAGCCCCGAAGCATCTTGTAGAAAGTGAGAATTCTTAGCAGTCTGACAGCATTGCAGCAATGCTAGAAGCACTAGTGTAGACTGAGCTCAGATGCCTTTATCATCATGTTATCTAATATACTTATAGCTGAGCTTAGTGACTTGGTGGTAAAAATGCTTGTGCCCAGTCTGCACTTGTGGTTCCATTGTTAGCACCAATGCTAGACCAAAGGTGGGGGAACTGGTAAAACTTCTCTCTGCACAAGTTGCCAAAGAGGCTGCTAGATTTGGACAATACAATTCAGACACAATTCCCTAAACGAATGCTGGGAAATGGTGCTGACCCCTTTTCAGGTCATTGTTGAACTTGAAAAGCATCGTGGAAGAAGCCGTGTGAACTGGTACATGAGAAGGCATTCTAAGTGTAATGGACAGCAAGGAGGGAGGCTGGGGAGAATTACAGGCAGGGGCTTCAGGCACAGTGTTTGCTAATATCTCTTCCGAAGTGATTAGTCCTTTGTACATAGTTCATATAATGGTTTAGGAGCCTTGATTATGGAATTCTCTAGCTACATAGTGTGTGTGTCCTTGTCATTACCATCCCAACTGTAACTGTAATCTGTTAGTGGGATTGAGGAACCCATATTGGTAAAATAAATCAAATTTCTCGGCTGTGTTTTGAGGCCATCTTGCTTAGAATTTCTTGTAGCATTTTTGGTCCAGCATGCAGCAGGTTTAAGTTGGTATTGCTGTGTTGGTTTTTCAGTCAGTGGTGCCTGTTTCCTGGAGAACAGAGTCCAGAGGGTCAACATTTTTCCTGCTTGCTTTTATGGAAACAATTCTGCCCTGGATACCATCCTAGGAATTTCCAGAGAGAAGACAGAATGTGCACTAGGGCAGCATCCACCACCAGTGTCTTACTGCAAAGGTAAACAGCTGCCTGCATGATTTTTCTCAGAGGTGTTGAACAATAAGCATTAGAGGCAACCCCTAAAGAGGGCATAGCGGAAAGTTGGAAAACAGCCTTGGAAGAAGTGACTTGCAAAAGAAAGTTCAGGCAGTTGTAAATAGCTGGATACCCCATGAGGTGGGGATTAAAGGCTGTACATTCTTGTAGTCTTTCAAGATTAATCTCTTAGCCACTTAATATTGTGTTTTGTGCAGTGATATCTTTTTAGTCTCTGGTGGACTAATCCATTAAATGTGTACAGTCTGGTGTGACTGCAGTGTTATTACTTGAACACCTTTTTTCTCTCTGCAGCTGAGCAAGATAACTTGTTGGTGCACCAACCAGATGAGCCAGAGAACCCCAAGGTTCTGAGAGTTGCCATCATTGGAGCACCAAATGCTGGGAAATCTACCCTCTCGAATAAACTCTTGGGCAGAAAGGTAAAGCTGTTATACCTCAGTCCCTGCAGCATCTGAGAACCAGGTTACATATTGTTTTTGTCGACATTTCTTAGATGTTGTACACATCTGACTTGTTTCCTGCAGGTTTTCCCAGTATCTAAGAAGGTGCACACCACACGCTGCAAAGCCCATGGGGTCATCACAGAAGAAGACACTCAGCTGGTAGGTATTCCACATGTGATAAGGTAACTATCAGCAATAGGCATTATTACCCAGATGATCCATAGCATTTTGCTTACCCCCTGCAGTCTACTTCAATTGCACAAACATGAGTTTTAGCTTCCTGTCAGTAATTACAGGATGATCCTTATTGGTTTGGCTTTCTCTTTCTAGATCATCCTGGACACACCTGGCCTCATCAGCCCCATGAAAGCCAAAAGGTATCTCTCTTAATGTGGGTAGATGGAAAATCCAAGTGGGCAAGGTTTGAGGAGACCGGAACATGAGTTCCACTGTAGGAGCTTGTAGAGCAGAATGAAAGGGGTGTAATGGGTACTTACTTGGGATAGAGGTGTGGTGTTCATAGAATGAGACCAGTTCTTGTCTCTGAACTACCTTACAATTACCAGCATTACAGTAGCACCTAGAGTCCACAGTCTCTGTTGAGAATCCATTGTGCTAGGCACTGCACTCTCAGAGAGATGATGGTAGGCCAAAAGGTGGCACTACGCTAGCTGGGTACTAAAAGGGAATGTGAAATTCTTCCACTGTGCCATGGGGTGGAAAAGGAGGCAGTTTATGAGCAGATGCACGTGTAGTTCCATAATGGATATTTGTCTTTCAGGCATAATCTGGACAAATCCCTGATACATGATCCATGGGACAGCATGAAACATGCAGACTTAGGTGGGAACCCAATTCTCATACTATATCAAGTCAAATCCTGATGTGTCTATGGTGGGTACTTATATGGCTGCCATTGCCCTGGTATCCGAATGCCCATATAGTGGAGTGGAGCAGCAATGGCAGCTCCTGGGTGTGCGGGGATAGAGTGGTGGGGAAGTACATACAGGAACTCTCCACATCTGTAACTGGGGAAGAGTATGGTACACCTGTACACCGCTTAAGGAGGCAGTGTGGATGATTGGGCTGGGTTGTTGAGGATTAGTTTGTATGGCACTGGGAAGATGTGGAAAAGTGCATTATTTTATCATACTCGGACTTTATCTACACTCACACTCAGACATACACACACTGCTGTGGAAGTAAGAAAGGCAGTGATCTGAAGAAAGAGGCCACAAGCTGAGGGGCAATTAAAGGCTGATGTCTGCCAAGAGGGGTTTCAAATGTCTCTCTCTGTTTGGCAGTTCTGGTTTTGGTGGATGTGTCAGAACGCTGGACACAGAACCGTCTGAATCCCCAGGTGCTGCAGTGTCTTTCTCAGTTCCCACAGATTCCCAGCATCCTGGTCATGAACAAGGTAAATGAGAGAGGGGTCTGAGTCTTCTGTTTTATACAGTGAGTTAGTGCTTGGGCATTACATACAGGGCCTCTTTCCTTGATACCTCTATTGAAGGTTAAACTAAATGTTGGTTTCTTGGCAAATGCCACAGAAGAGATCAATCTATCTGAAGGTTTCCAGTGTTTTGTAACTTACTAAGGGGTGACTTAGGCCTGCAGCAAATAGTGCCGACCTTACAGCTGTGATTCATCTCTCTTTCACCTCAAGACTTGGATTATTACTTGAGACAGTTACATTTGTCCCAGTTCCAGCTGGAACAAATTCCTGATCAATCTCTCTATAATCAGGTGGATCTGCTGAAGAGAAAGGCCCTTCTGCTGGACCTGGTCACTGAGCTCACAGAGGGAGTGGTAAATGGAAAGAAACTGAAAGTGAAATCTATGTCTAAGATGCATTCAGACTCTACCAGAAACAGTCCCCTTCAAAGCATCCAAACTTGTCTGTCTGAGAATACATCCAAAGAGTCTGGTTATCTCCAGGATGCCAGTGAAGTCCAGAGGGGCTCTGGCTCAGATACAAGTTGTAACATGAGGGCATCAAACTCTGATCATATGTTGGAAGGCACAGAGAAAGCGCAAATTGCAAACCACCAGGTATCTAGAGACTTAAAGAACAAGAAAGGCTGGCCGCACTTCCAGGAGATCTTCATGCTAGCCGCTATTAATGGAGAGGCAGTGGAGACACTGAAGGTAAATTAGCCTGAAATAATTGCATTATACCTTGTGACTTGCACCTTCTCATTCTTGTGGTCACCCTAGATAACTTAGTTATACTGAGCCTCATATCGTGTGAGGAAATAGCCAAAAAGCCTTTCTTTGTCTGACCTGTCCCCTTTCTCCTGGCCTGTGGTCTGCAGCTCCCTGAGGAGTCCCTGGTAGGCTGGTGATGGGGTGCCATCTGACCAAGGGAACTGTATCACGTCAGACTACTTAAGAGCACAATCTTTGATTTTTTTCCACCTAGGACTTTTACTGGTGACTTTGGGTCCCCTTTAACTGCCCCTGTTCTTTGTGTCGACAGAAGTACCTCCTGATGCAAGCCAAGCCAGGTCGATGGGAGTACCACAGCAGGGTTTTGACAAGCCAGTCGCCCCAGGAGATCTGTGATAATGTAATTAGGGGGAAGCTACTGGAGTATCTGCCACAGGAAGTGCCCTACACTGTGCTTCAGGTAGGAAGCAACTCAGGGAGAGCAGCCTTTCATAAGTGTCCATATGATGAGAGAGACCCTTCCTGGTACAATACTCTGCTGAAATCTCTAAAGATTTGGGTTTAACGTTTGAGGGCATGTGGCACTGCATTATCCCCAAGTCCTTCACTTGGGAGTGGGGCCATTTTGATGCCTGCTGTGCATGTGTGCTTGGCCACGGGAGGGACAGGCAGCTGGGAATAGGAGTCTCTGGGGCCTGGAGGCAGGGGACTTTGCTCTTCTGAGGGGTTTGCTGAGTGGTTGGGTTTGTGCTCTAATGTTGCAGAAGACGGAGATGTGGGAGGAAGGGCCGAGTGGGGAGCTCATCATCCTGCAGAACCTGCTGGTCCAAAAGGAGACCCATGTGGTGAGTATTGTGGGAGAACCTCTATGCTCTTTTGCCGCTGATTGGGGGAGTCCATGGGGCATAAGAAAGGAGGGTCTGCAGACCCAGTGCAGGAATAGGATCCTTTGTGCATCCATGGAGTTCAGTCACATTTGTACGGAGTGTACTAGACATCCTGTTTTAGCCAGTTCTCTGCTATAGGCTAATGTGCCCTGCACTAGTCTTGCTGTGCAGACTCTGAGTCCCTTGGGCTGTGAATTGCAGGTGAGGCACAGTGTAAAGTGCATTAAATATCTGTAACCCTGTGGTACATCTAGACAGAGAGTGAGGCCAAACCTCCCATTATGTACTAGATGAAGCATGTCAGTGACAGGGTCTACTTTGTACCTTCCTTACCTTCTGACTAGAGCATGAAGGCACAGCATGCGCCAGCCTCATCTGTGAGTTGGCCAGTCAGTCACTCAAGGTGCCTCTCTCCCCTTTGGCACAGATCATGCTCTCTGTATCTGAGGTAGAGGGTACAGGCCAAGCAGCTGGTTTTTCAGTTTCTCTACATATGGGGCACGAGCCTGCACTGTTCTGTGGTGACAGATACCCTACAGGCAGGGTTCAGGGATGCTCCAAATCAGTGTTTCTCAACGACCGGTCTGTGGACCAGCGCCAGTCCCTGAGATCTCCCTGACACAGTTTAGGAAGGCAGCAAGCCGATCTCTGGTATCAAAAAGGTTGAGAAACACTGAAATGAAACATCCTCTTTATCTGCTTCCCCAGTCAGCATGTTGCTCTCGAGGGCTGCCTCTCCCTGCAGTTAGGTGGCACTGCCAGAAGTAAGGGAGGTGAATGTGATAATCCCTGTCTCTGGTTTGTGGTACAGAAGATGCTGATTGGTGTGGGAGGTCAGCTGATCAGCAGGATTGCTCAGGAGGCCGGTGAGGACCTGATGAACATATTCCTGTGCGACGTCCACTTGAAGCTCCGTGTGAAGCTGAAGAAATGAGCTGCTTATTTAGTTGTTACCAACTCTTGTCTGACCACGAATGAAGAGATGGACATGCTGAAGGACATGGAGACACCCCGTTCTGGTGGGCTGACGCCCCCTGGCCATATCAGGGCACTGAGATCCCCCCCGGGCATAGAGAGGGATGCTGAGTAAACCAAAGAACTAAAGTAGAATGTTCTTTGTGGGGGTCTGAACTGCAACGAGTTTAATGCTGGAACGTGGTGAAATCTTCAGACATTGACCCACCCCAACAGATTATCCAGCGAGAACTTGGAGTGGATGTTGGGGAACCACCACACCCACACTTTTAGTGCTGCATTTACAGAGCCATCTGTCTTTGCTCCCTCTGCTGCTTCTTGGCTTTCGCGTCCTTTGGACTACTTGCCCACTATCTGTACTGCCAAAAGCAAACAACTGTGGCTGGATGTTGTGCTGAAAATGATGATGCTGCAGTGGCAGAATATGGGGTGGAGAGAGAAGGGAGGAGGCAAGAGCAAAAATTGAATCTCTAAGGCCAGGGTCATTTCTGAAGGTCTCAAACAGGTGTCACCTGCATGCATGTCCAGATGCATATATTGTATTGCACCTCAGTGGGCATGAGTGATATGAGCACTGGTCTGTCAAATACTCCCCAGACCATTAATGTCCACTGTGAAGAAGTAACTCTCCAGTTTCCCTCAGGCAAGAGCTTAAAACACTTCTACAGTAATTAGTGTTCTAGGAAAACTGCAGACTCAGCTATGAGTAGGCTGAGTGAGTACTGTCAAGTGAATGCTGCCTGTATAGTGCTTGGGGGTCCTTTGGCCTGAAAGTGGCTTTGTAAATATAACTGTCCTTTAAAGTTCAAAAGGACTGCTGTCTTCTGGCAAAGAAAGGGTTATCAGGTGTATTCCCCTCGTCTCATGTCTTCAGTGCTGCAAGGCCGAGTAGCTGTACAACTTGGAATGGTGGCGTTCCAGCTGAAAAGGCTGCACCAGCCCAACTGACGTGCTGATCTTCCCTGTGATTGCAGCACATCGTGCTGTCTGCCTGGCCCTTCTTCTGCAGGCTGTGGAAGATGAATGAATGAGGGATCATGGAAACAGGGCCTTTAGGAGCCAGATGTTTGTTGACGGGGGCTGGAGCAGGGGATGTTGCTTGCAAATAGAGCCTCTCGTGCCTTTTTAGTGTAGCTGGGATAGCAGGTGGGTATTGCTGAGGGAATCACTCTGTTGGTCACCCTCGAAGAGGGACGTGTTGGCTAACAGCAGTGGTTCCCAACTAGAGTGCACCTGCAATAGATGCATGGATACTGTCTCCCTTCCCCAACGCAGTTGGCACCCTGGCCTCTTCATTCTCCTCTTTTCTATTTTGCAAGCATTTTTGTTGTCTTGTTTTCTCTCCCTTATTGTCCTTTTCTCCCGCTCGCCAGAAGGCTGTGGGATGTTGATTGGGGCTCTGGGGAGGAGGGGCCAGGCTGCACCTGCTGTTGTGACTGAGCTGATTATCAGGAGAGCAGGGAAGGGGAGCGTGGGTCAGTGGGCTGCTGTCTGAAGCGGAAGCTCTGTATACCTGAGGGGCTGCTGCAGGAGGCTGGGGGAAAGGGAAGTGCCTCCCCAGGAGCTGCCTGATTTTAGAAGCAGCAATTAGAGCAAATTGGCCTGGGGTGGAAAGTGGATCCACTGACAGGCTCTCTCTACGCCCATTGCTCCTTATCTCCTTTGCACTGCCCCAGGGGATTCTAGGTGTGCCCCAGCATGGCCTCAAGAGTTTGCATTTGGCTACCAACTGAATATTCAGTAGCTTAATATAAAGGTGCCCCCAGCAGCTTACCTCACTCTTTCCCAATTGTGTGCTGTCATGGCAAGGCAAGACTAAAATGGCACCCATCCCTTACTGTTGTTCCTAGTGAAACCTTACTGGGGAAGAGAATGTGGGGAGAGGATTCAGCCTGTTTGGGGGGCCAAGTGGCACAGTCGGTGGGAGGAGACTGGGTGCTAGAACAGCTTTATTGCACCAACTTCACCTGTAGAGATCTGGGGTCAAGTGAGGACTAGGTGTCATTAGGAGGCCCTGCCTGTCCCGTTGTTTGCAGAGTGCCCACCTTAGCTTGAGGCAGTTGAAGAGAAACCCCAGGTTGGAGAAGCAGGGATGTCGCAGGTTAGGCTTGAAGTGCATTGCAGAGCTGGCAGGGACCTTAGCCTTGACTGGTAGCAGGTGACACAGGTCAGGACTGAAAGCCGTGGAGGTTGAGAATAAAATCTGGATTGTATGGCAGTCTATAGCCTTGTGTTGCCCTTGCAGTAGCTGTGTTGGTGTTGGCATGGACTGGCACAGCCTCTGGGGACAAAGATGAGATGAGCTGTTTACTGGCACCGAGATGGATTGACTGGCATATTATAGATATGTATCTAGACCAGTGTTTCTCAAATGCAGTCACCAAGGTCGCATGCGGCCACCAGAGAATTTTCTTGCGGCCACAGCCTCCTGGGCTGTAATGGGGGGAGGGAGGGAAGCAGCAGCCTCCTCCCCCAGGGCCAC